CACCGGACCAGGCTCTCACATCACCAAGCGCGAAGCGCCGTGAGATATTCGGCGAGTCGCATGAAGGGTGCGCTGCATCCTGCTAAGGGTGTTCGGCATCTTGTGCTTACTTCCTTGCGTACGGATGACAGCTGCGTATGAATTACTTTATTTTCTGGTGCTTTCGCTTCCAGAGACAGTTGTAAGCACTGTGTAACTGCCTCGAGGGTGCTTGACCATAAACACAACGTGGTGCGATCATCCCCCTTGCGCGGAGCGAGGGTTCTCGACCCCGCACAACATGATCTACTCGGCCGCCATTATGTTTACCGCCAAAAAAAAAAAACGGAGGTAAAAAAAAAAACGGTAACCTGGTTGCCGAGTTCACGAAGTGAATTGGCTTGTTTTACAACGTCGTTGCCAAGCGACGAAAACCCAATCCCGATGGTAAACACCGGGGGGGGCGGCTTGTTTTACAACGTCGTTGCCAAGCGACGAAAACCCAACCCCGACGGCAAACACCGGGGGGGGCGGCTTGTTTTACATCGTCGTTGCCAAGCGACGAAAACCCAACCCCGATGGCAAACACCGGGGGGTTGGGTTTGGGGGGGGCAGAGAGACGACCTTGGAGAACCAAGCTGGGGACTCGGGGACTATTATGTTTCTCATTTTGCTTCTCGACGCCAGACCTAGAGAGCAAGAAGAATGTTCGGCCCCGTCGATTGTACATCATTCACCATTCTCTTCCACTTCCACGTAAGGAATTCGAGAAGAAGGAGCCACAACCGCAAGATTGATACCCTTCTCCCCTCGCCGCCCAGTTTGTCCTTTCGTTACATGAAACCGGGAAACCAAGGCCACGCGAGCTGCCCCTCCCTCGACGCTATCATGAACGCCCACATCAGACAGGTAGTGTTATAGTAGGGTCTAGTCCGGTTTTCTAATCGCCATCCACCCGTGTCTGTATCCCATCGTTCAGATCTAACGGTGATTGAGGGGGCGGCCGTCCCTCCTCTTGGGTCGATGGTCCTGTCGTCCCCTTCTTTGTATGCTTTTTGGAAAATAACTACTACTTACACCGCAGGAGGAAGGTGGGGGGCATGAAAAGAAATAATAATACCCACCCCTGTGTGACCCTGGATGATGGTTGGTTGTAGTAGTACGAAAAAATACACTGAAAAAGTGTAGTACTCTACATACATACGCTGAACAGTGTAGTAGTACACGTCTCACCACGAAAAATGGAGGGACTGTCGCCAAAATAAATAAATAGGACGAAAACACACACACAGACCGCCGTACAAGGCCCGAAAATGTCGATGGTCCAGCAAGGAAGGGTGTTGACGAGCGAAAAGGTACGAATGTTGCCACCTTCCGCTGGTGGGGATTCGAAAAGTTTCCATGTGAATCACCGGCAAGAATACGGGCCATTCGGTGAGAGCGTTTGTTTGTGATGACCTCCAGACACTCGTGTTGTTGGATTGCTTCTACACTAGGTACACCTCGCAGTGTTTCGATAATACCCGCGACCAAGAGCTGGTATGTACATGTATAGGCCCATGTAGGCACGATCAAAGAGGGTGTATGCAACCAACCATGCACCCGCAGATTTATACTGCTGCTTTCTCTGTTGTCAACCAAAGGCTGAAAATAGACTAGACTTGTCTACAGTAAGTGATCGGGTATGCATGGGCAGCTTCCGAAGGTTGGTAAACTCGTGGCTTCTGGGGAAAAGATGTTGTATTGATGAGACCTTGGACCAGAACAGGTCAAAAGGTGGAGTGAGCTGGGTGGTTGCACAGCATCCAAGCAGCATCACGCTTGAGCATCCGCCCGATCACGCATGCATAGACACCAAACACGGACCGATGCATGGAACGGACCAATGCACTTTCCTACGTATCACACATCCTCGGGCTAATGTACTCTCCACGAAGAACATTCCTACAGCCAGAGAGAAAGGACCAAGAACACTCCACATATTCTCATACCGTATTCTACACAAGATACCACACCCTCATAAGATACCACACCCCCCCCAGAATACCACACCCCGGTGGTAATTTTGGGTGTATTTTTCAGACCATGATTTATCACCGGGGGTACACAAGATACCACACCCCGGTGATAACACAGGTTACGCCGCATACATTCCCTGTCTCTATCACCGGGGGTGAAACAGCATCACACACGCACAGCTTGTACCGTACGGGGGGAGGCATGGAGACCTCAGAGAACATGAACGTGCGGGAAGAGCAGAATGCCGCCGCAAGTACATCTGCTTCTCCCACGACTGCTTCGACCGCAGCAGCACAGGCGCCACAGATCACCTCGTTCTTTCAACCCGAGCAGACTTCTACGCAAGCGGCACACCCCCTGTTTATCACACACCCGAACACACTCTTTGGGTGTTCCGACGTGTTATCACACCCCATTTTATCACACCCCCTTTTTTATCCCACTCCCAAACCCTCCCTGTGGGTGGTCGCATGTGCTACCACACCCCCTGGTTTATCACACCCCCTGAGGAGCTCCTGCGAGCTAGGCTTTATCACCGGGGTACACAAGATACCACACCCCCCCCACAATACCACACCCGGTGATAATATTTTTGAAGCCCAAAATGTTATCACCGGGGTGTGGTATCTTGTGTAGAATACGGTATGTGGCTACACAACGACTCTTCAGCTTGACAGTCCCGACATTTGGACTATCCAATCAGACTGTTTACGCTTCTGTCGATACACATGCCGCTACCTCGAACACCGAAGACAAAGCTGGGGGTCGCGGAGTGAAGCCCACCACCTTTCGGGGATATCTTAACCCTTACGTGACTACAGGCCGATTCAGCTCCGTTCGCAGCTCCGGTCACTTTACGTGCCGATAGATCGCCGTTGTGCCTCGGCTAAGAGCAAAAACCATGCATATAGTCTAGAGACCAGCAGGGAGATACAGGCAGCCCACCCCCAAAGCACGCTTATCAGCAATGCACACAGGACGCACATAGTACAATACTGTTCACCCATGCCTAGTCTCTCTGACGTGGGGCAGATATCCTTTCCAGATCCAATCTACTGCCTACCGGTCTGTTAAGATTCAAACGCAAAATACCACCGGAGCGTATATGCATAGTCTACAGCAACATGTGATCAACCCGGTGCCACATCCGCGGGTCAAGCCTAGAACATGCTTCCTCGGCCTTCTGGCCTTTCCATGTCTCGCTTTCGCCAACAATATGCGTACCTCGGCTTAACCGGTCGTTCCAAGCCCTGCTCTGAAGCCAGAGACACCCTTACTTACCTTGACCTTACTTGTAGTCCATCATGTGCCTTCCCATGCCCTGTTTCAGCCTAGAACACGCTTCCCATGTCAAGACTAGCTTCCGCCCGAGACACACTAACCTCGGCTTCAAAAAAAAAACAAAAACGAACCGACGATGCTCGTGCTCTCTTTCTTTGTCTGTCTCCTCCCCTCCGTACACTCGCTTCCTTCTTCCTCCTCTGTCTCTCTTCCACTCCTCCTCCTGTTGGCTTGTTGTCTTGCTCTGTTCGTTCAGATGCTTCTTTCTTCTGTTGTGAGCATGGTGCATCTCTTTGTTTTTTCTTTTCTTTCGTTATACATACTTGCCTATACCAGGCTCTCCTACCTACGGTTCGGACAGAGCCTTCCACCTTTTTTGTCGCTCACTTCTCGAGAAATGCCGTTTTTATTATTGTGTCGCCGTGCAGAGGCCGGGTCTTGGAGGTGGAACTCTCCCCCTTCCCCCTGGCCCTTATGCCTACAGAGGAATCCAAACGCTTCCTTCAGTAATAAGAACCAGGCTGACCACATTCCGCTGGTCGCCCAGCTTGGACACAAACCTTCCTCTTTTACTTCTCTGTTCCTTAATAACAGTGATGGCACTTTCTCGAGAGAGGTGATTGTTTAAGACTCTCAGAGAAGTTCCATAGTTATGTTGTGAGGAGGAGTAGCAACCTGAAATTTCAATACTCGATAGATCCGGGAGTTGAGATGATCTATTCGTGGATGCGAAAGATAGATGATTAGATTTATTTGTTGCCGTTTTTACCTGGCGATATGTACGGAGGATCTCGTAGACCGTATCTCGTACCGAGTAGGGGGCGCTGTTTGTGTGTGTACTCGGCAGGATGCAAGTCGCCGAAATCTCCGACGGGAGTACGCAGATGAGATAGATATGGGTATGATAGACAGACTTGGTGCAGCAGGCTTTGCCTCTTCTTGCTCAAGTCTGTCACTCTCTAATAGTCAAGGAACTTGAGTCACTCCTTCGTGCAAAACACGCTCTCGACAAGAGCCCGCGAGCGTGATAACATTGTACACGCGCCGACACCCCAAACAGATTCCCGTACGCAAACTCATGCTTCACGTCTCCCCCCGGTCCTACTGCGATGGGTACCCCAACTTCTGCAATTAAATTGGGGTACCCATCGCAGTAGGACCGGGGGGAGACGTGAAGCATGAGTTTGCGTACGGGAATCTGTTTGGGGTGTCGGCGCGTGTACAATGTTATCACGCTCGCGGGCTCTTGTCGAGAGCGTGTTTTGCACGAAGGAGTGACTCAAGTTCCTTGACTATTAGAGAGTGACAGACTTGAGCAAGAAGAGGCAAAGCCTGCTGCACCAAGTCTGTCTATCATACCCATATCTATCTCATCTGCGTACTCCCGTCGGAGATTTCGGCGACTTGCATCCTGCCGAGTACACACACAAACAGCGCCCCCTACTCGGTACGAGATACGGTCTACGAGATCCTCCGTAC